ATAGGTATGTAAAAATAATTTTTAGGTTACAAATAATTCAATTGTGCCACAATATTAAATTATTTGAATTTTCGCCAAGTTAAGTTAATACTTCTTGATGTAGGTTATTTTATTTCTTTGATTTTGATTCTTTGAAGTTCGATAGCTAAATTTTAAGTGTTTATAATTGTTAAGTGTCAACGGAACCTAGAATTAAGACGAAATCTTTTTTATGTCAAAACCCTTTATAATTACACTTAGGACGTTGAATTTCGATAATGGAATTTTACCGAGATTAGTATACAGGTAGGCTATCAAATTTCTTTTGGGTAAAATTTTAGAAATAGATTACGACTGAGGACTTAAGTGGAAGGTCGAACAAGATGTTAAAAGACCGAAATAGCCTCCCTCCATCTCAAATTAACCATGCAGCAATGGAACCTTCTTGAACAAGCTTCAAATCCAAACATTTCCATCTTGTCGGTTCCATGATTCATTTCAGCACTCCACCATCTATAATACCGACTTAGCTCCACTAAACACATTTCACTATATACATTCCACTTCATGCACTCCATTTTACCAACCCCAAATCACCACAGCATTTCATTTCCATTCCTTTGTCTGCCAAGAGCTGTCCGAGAGAGTGAAGTGGAAGAGAGAGCCGAGCTATCTACTTTCTTTTCCTTCCTGCCCGTAAGTTAAAAAAAAAGAGACTTGCTGTTCATTCTCCACTCCATCCGTGAGCTGGTGAAGAGGACCGAGAGCTAAACTTCCTCCATTCATGTCGCAAGCTTGAGCAAGGAAGAGGGAGAGTTGGCGGACTGCATTTCTGGACTGTTCGAGAGGAGAGAAATATTTCAGCTGCTAGTCGCGCGTGTTGTGAGCTTCAAGCTGAGGTAAATTCTGGACCTAAACTAGTTGATTATAGGTAGATGATGTTGGTTATGAGCATGCATGTGGGGGTTGTGCGGTTTGGATGAAGAATTAAGACTTAGGAAAAATCTGATTTTGAAGAAATTGGATTGCCGAGAGTTTGAGCTGGAATTGTAGCTTTAATTGGCCAATTTGTGGAAATCTGAGTTTAATTGTGTATTTAGCTAACTAAAAACTGGATGTTTATGCTTTGCATGAGGTTAATCAGCCGTGAGAAAATCAGAAAATTGAAGGGATACAAAATCTGCTTGCATGCAAGCCAACGAGAAGAATTGAATGAATTTCTAGTTGGATGGTAACTTTTGATGTTGTCTAAGCTTGGTTTTGGATCAAAACTGATAGATAGCTAATTATTTTGATCATGCATGTAGCTGAAATGAGTCATGGATAAAAAAAAGAAAGAAAACTAAAAATGTGGCCGAGTGAGGGGGGTTGAGCATTTGATCAGTTTCCTTTCGAATCTCAGCTGGATTTTCATACTGGATGTTTAAAATTAGCTTGTAGCTTGCTAATCATCTTTTGCATGTTGAGTTGAAGTAAAAATTGAAGAAAATTATGGACAAGGCACCATAAGTTAAACTGTTATATTGCTGGAATTGTATATGGTTGCTGGCCGAATTAGTTGAGGCTTTTGGGTGAGATTATTTTTCTGGAAGTATGTGTTATTTGTTTTGGTTTAGATTGGACAGATTATGAGCTATGTGTTTAGTGTTTCAAGCAAGTAAAAGATGGAGATTTGATGGATATCTTGAATTGTCATTGCTGGAATTTTTTTCTTGGTTGTCGAAAGGAGAAAAAAATCTGAATTCCTAAGATGTTTACGAGTTAAGCTAACCGTGACTTTCTTTTATGTTTTGAGTTAAATTTCTGGTTGATTGTTGTAAGGAATGATTGTTTGATGCTAAGAGCTAATGATTGATGAAACTCTTGGCCATTTGAGTAATTTTACAAGAGTTAAATTTTTGGGGAATTGTTTAAGTGGTTGGCCGAAATGTACTTGTAAGGTCCATGATTTGTGGTTTGGAATTGTTTGGATGTCTTGGTTTCTTTGTTTAATTTGATTAGAATTGAATCTGTTGAGACCTAGGGCTAATGATTGATGAAGCCCTAGTGAAATTGATGTTTGAATTGTGATTTTTCTATATTGGCAACTTGGGTTATAATGTGCAAATGAATTGGAATCGTGAAGTGTACTTTTAAAACCTTGCTAACTAGTTAATTCTTTTCTTTGTTTAAACTAGCTTTATTACCTTTAAGAAATAATTGCATTAACTTCCAAACTTTAAGTTTTTTGTAAAATTATCCCTGGCTAGTTGATTTAGAGGAAAATTGTTAAAAACACTAGATTTTAATATTTTAAATGAAAGGCATAGAAAACTTGTTCAGCAAGAAAACTTGTTTAAATTAAATTGGTTCTAGTTGCACCTCCAGAAAGAAAAGTATCTCTAAAGAAACCCTACGAATATTCTATCACTTTTATTAGTTTTAATTCTAAGAGGATTATTGATTTATTCGGGGAATAAACTAATTATATACCAGATAATATTTTATATGTAAACAAGAGTTTGTATAGTAAAACTTATAATTTTTAAAACTTGGTCTTTTAGGGTTTAGCGAGGACGTAGACTTCGATTCCCATCTTGATTTTTAAGCTTCACTTTTGGTGAGTGTCCGTGCTTGTTCTATGATTAATTTGTTAAAGTGCTTTCTTGACTGTTATGTGATAATTGAATGTGGGTTTTGCTGATCCATCGAAGTGGGCAGTGTGTACTTTATTGCACTAGCCCTTTCGAGTGGTGATTTACTTGAAATGTTTTCTTGAAATCTTGCTTGTACTAGTTAAATATTGAGTGGGGGGAATGTACCACACCTGAGGGTGGGAGGACCTTTTATCCTAACTCAAATACCAAAACCTTGCAACTGTTGACTGGAGCGTGGACTCGTCAACTAAACCACCAGGCAGGGGAATATACCACACCTTAGGATGGGAGGGCCTTTTATCCTGACTTGGTGACCACTTGTTGTAACGTCGTTGGGTGAATCCCTCGACTAGCCTATAAAAAGGTATACTCGAGTAATACCAAACCCTCTCGTGAGAAGGACGGGCCCGGTGGGAGTAAGTTGGTCGGAGCGTGTTAAGGAAAAACAATGAATCTACATTGACCTTAGATAGTGAGAGTTGACGGAGGGTCAACTGCGATTAATTTTGATCAAGCTTGTGGAAAATGGCTCCTGAGAGCCCTGTATCCTACTCTGTGCTGTTAAACGCTTTCATACTTGTTGAGTTTAAGTTTGGAGATATTATTTGCTATTTGTCTTATATGATTGCATGTTTGGGGCACCACTGAATTTAACTCACCCCACGTTATTTGTTTTCCTGAACAGGTTTTGGCAATCAAGAGACTTGAAGTCTGCCTTTATCTTTTGTGAACGTTGTTTTGAATCGGACTATGTATCTTTTGTCTTGGGTTGTCACTTGAAGCTGAAAAAGTGCAAACCCTAAGTTTTGGCTTGTATGAATGTATTTGAACTTTATGAGTTCACTTTGTGGTTTGTAATGTATAAATGTAGTTATGTGTTAAGCTGGTTGGAGGTGTACTTAAGAGTGAACGTTCAGACGTCCAATGACAATGTTATCTCTGAAGTTAATGTGTTCCTAGTATTCTGGTCGTTTAAAGGTTTGGCTTGTTCGGGTGACGAATTTTGTTTTGGTTTAGGTTATACGTGGAAAGGGTTTAGTCGGTTTCCTTGCGTGAGTCCTGGCGAGAGCTAGGCAGGCGACCCGCCAACCCTCTGATTCGCCTTAGGGAGAAGTGGGGCCGTCGCAGGTGGTATCAGAGTCTAGGTTAGGAAAATTATTTGAAAGATATATTTGATGTGTTAGAAACCCTGAACCTTTTAAAAGTTAAGAAGCGAGATAATTAGACATATTCTAAGTAGTACTCGAGCAAGTTTGCTATTTAAGCATTAATTTTTGGATTCTTGGTTATTTTGCAGGTATGAAAAATGGAAACGGACATGCTAATGGTAACGGATTGGCTAATGGACATGTAGAGCCTCTTAGGTCCATCTCTTATAGGCCACGAGGCGGAAGATCTCATATACGTTATACACCAACTGATAGGTATCCCCGATGTCAGTGTAGGGTCACATATGCCTACCCTAACGAGTTAGTGCTGTCCTTAGACGACGAGCATCGCCAGTTGAGGGACGCTAATCACACTTTGACCCATGACGTCGAGGAATTGAGCATTATGGTAGATACTCAGCTTGATCGCATAGCTAAGCTCGAGCAGAGGTTAGCAGCCGAGAGGGCTAGGTCAGAGGCTGCTCGTGAGGAGTTAGGGAGACAGAGGTCTCGATTGACTCGAGTAGCTGAGGAAGTATGAGATAGGAGTGCGGGTATTAGGGCTGACGCTACTATGATGATAGATGAGGTCATGGGTATTATTCAGGGAACTGCTCAGGCGGGTGTTGAGGAGGATCCGAAGGAGGATCTGGAGGAGGACCCTGAGGAGGACGTTGCCCCTGGTAGCCCTGCTGAGGGTTAGACTAGATTTGCTTTGCCTTAAATAGGTATCCAGGGTTAATTAGGGTGACACTAGTTTAGGTCATAGCATTTTGTCTAGCTAGATGACCTATTTTTGAGGCACTGTATCCCTATTTTTGGTTTAAGGGATTGTTTGTATATATGTGTTAAACTTGTGTGCTATACTCTTGGAATGCATCCTAACTTGCTATTTGTATGAAATTTGGTATGTGAATATATGTGTTAAGTGTTTTATTTTCCTTTTCCTTAATGTTCATGTTGATTTTTTTTGTTTAAAAAAAATATAATAATAATAATAATAATAATAAGTAAATAAATAACAATACTTTCGCTTAATTGCTTTATTTATATCAATAGGCATAACTAGGCTATGGATCGACAAGTTAGAGATAGAGAGCGTGGGAGATCAACTAGATAACACCCCGAGATTGGTGGTGATAGGGGACCTGAGGTCAATCAAGACCATGGTCAAGGGAGCGTGGTCGGAGACCCAGTGGCCACCGCGATCAATAGAATAACTGATGTCTTAAAGCGCATGACTGAGCACCAAGCCTTTGGACCAGTGCGTCACCCAGAAGGCCCAATCGATACTGAGGATCGGACATTAGAGAGATTCTTGAAGTTTGGACCTCCTAAGTTCTATGGAGGCCCAGAACCTGAGGTAGCAGAAGGTTGGTGGGAGAGGATCTCTGACATTTTTGCAACTCTAAATTATACGGAGGAGAGACAAGTGACTTTCGCAACATTCCAGTTTGAGGGAGCTGCCCGTTCTTGGTGGAACCTAATTAGGGTCAATTGGGACAGGAACCATATTCCTAGAACCTGGGCGAACTTCACAAGGGAGTTCAACGCCAAGTTTCTACCCCCTCTCATCCAAGAGAAAAGAGAGGATGACTTCATCAAGTGTAGGCAGGGGGCGGCGAATGTCACCGAATATGAGATTCAATTCACGAAATTGTCCCGTTTTGCTCCCGAATTGGTAGCCACGGAGCAAAGGCGTATAAGGAGGTTTGTGCAGGGACTAAACGTGGAGATCCAAGAGGGATTAGCTGCTGTTCGGATAGACACATTTGCTGATGCTGAAGAGAGAGTTCAAAGGGTTGAAGTTGCCAGAACTCAAGTAAAATCTTTCCAGGCCAAGAAAAGATTTTCACCTAGCAGCAATCGGGAGCTGACTTATGCAAATGCTCCACCGGCCAAAGTGGGTCGAGGAACGGGTGGAGTAAATAGTCGTGGAGCACCACGAGACGCTCTAACGAGAGGAGCTGGGGCAAGAGGTGTCGGGGGGAGAGATATCGGAGCTAGAGGAGGACCAAGCGGAAGGGGTCAACCCAGGAACGTCTCGCAAGGAGGTAGTGTGACAAATTCTCAGGTAACTTGTGGGTATTGCAGGAAAACTGGCCATACCGAGGACGGATGCTGGAGGAAAGAAGGAAAGTGCTTGAGGTGCGGAAGCAGCGAGCACCAGATTGCCGGTTGTCCAAAAATGCAAGAAGGTGGTACCCCGAGTGCTAAGCAAGCCACTTCTGGAGGAAATAGGCCGAAAGTTCCTGCCAGAGTGTACGCCATGGACGACCAACCCGTACCTGATTCCTCGGAAGTCGTGGAAGGTACTCTTCCGATCTTTCACCGATTAGCTAGAGTACTAATTATTCCTGGCGCAACTCATTCATTTGTGAATCCAACTTTTATGTCCGGAATTGATGTAAAACCTGTTAGATTACCCTTTGATCTTGAAGTTAGGACACCCATGGGTAAAAAAAGCATAATTACTAGCCTGGTCTATAAGAATTATGAATTCTGGATTGGAGAGCATAAGATGCTAGTAGATCTAGTCAGTTTGGACATAAAAGGTTATGATGTTATCATAGGAATGGATTTCCTAACTCATTACCATGCTAAGCTTTATTGTAGAGCAAAAATGGTAGAATTTTGGATTCCCGGGGAAGTAACCCTGAAATTAGATGTGAAAGGTAGGTTAGCATCGTCTGCTATGATCTTGGGAATTCGAGCAAGGAAAATGTTGTATAAAGGAGCGCAAGGTTTCTTAGCCTTCCTGATTAATGCTCCCAGTGATCAAGTAAAGTTGGAAGATGTACCAGTGGTAAGGAAATTTCCAAATGTGTTTCCCGAAAAATTAAAAACATTACCTCCAGAGAGAGAAGTGGAGTTCAAGATTGAACTAGTGTCGGGAATGGCCCCGATTTCTAAGACTCCGTACCGAATGGCTCCTGCAGAACTAAAGAATTGAAAATTCAATTATAGGATTTATTGGGGAGAGGTTTTGTTAGAGAAAGTGATTCGCCATGGGGCGCACCTGTTCTATTTGTTAAGAAAAAGGATGGAAGTTTAACGTTATGTATTGATTATCGAGGATTAAATGAAGGTACAATTAAAAATAAATACCCTCTACCATTGATTGACAGCTTATTCGATCAGCTGCAAGGATCAGTAGTTTTCTCCAAGCTGGATTTGATGCAAGGGTATTATCAATTGAAAATTAAGAAGGAAGACATACCTAATACTGCTTTTAATACAAGATATGGACACTTTGAGTTTGCAGTCATGCCATTTGGATTAATCAATGCACCAGCTGCCTTCATGGACTTAATGCAGAGAGTCTTTAAAAGTACTTGGATCAGTTCGTAGTAGTTTTCATTGATGATATCCTAGTATATTTTAAGACTGGAGAAGAACATATTAAACACTTGGAGGTAGTTCTGCAGATCTTAAGAGAGTATAAATTGTATGCTAAATTTAGCAAGTGTGAGTTTTGGGTGGATGAAATTTCTTTTCTGGGGTACAAAGTTTCTAAAGATGGGATTGCAGTGGATCCGGCAAAAGTTGAGGCAGTCACAATGTGGAAGCAGCCAGAAACTCCAGCAGAGGTTAGAAGTTTTTTGGGTTTAGCAGGTTATTACAGGCGGTTCATCAAGGACTTTTCGAAGATTGCTGGACCTATGACAGAGCTGACAAAGAAAAGTAATAAATTCATTTGGACTCCAAAGTGCGAATCAAGCTTTCAAGAGTTAAAGAAGCGCTTAACATCAGCTCCTGTGTTGACATTGCCTGACGGAGTAGAAAGTTATGTCGTATATTCTAATGTCTCTAGGGAAGGTCTAGGATGCGTACTAATGCAAAAGGGTAAGGTAGTTGCCTATGCCTCTAGGAGATTGAAGCTCACGAACAAAATTACCCCACGCATGACCTAGAACTGGCCGCAGTGGTCTTTGCCTTAAAGAAATGGAGACATTACTTGTATGGTGTGACCTTTGAAGTTTATACGACCACAAGAGTCTTAAGTACTTGTTCTCCCAAAAGGAATTAAATTTGAGACAGAGGCGATTGGTAGATTTTTTAGAAGATTATGATAATTCTATCAACTACCACCCAGGAAAAACCAACGTGGTAGCAGACGCCCTAAGTAGAAAAGCCCAAGTAGCGAGGTTAATGGTAAAAGAATGGGACATGTTGGAAGAGATTAGCATTTGGAACCCTCGCTTGGAGAGTTTGAATATTTTATTTGGGAGCCTGTCGTTGAAATCACCATTATTGGAGCGTATTAAGCAGGCACAGAAAACGGACCCTATGATCCGAAAAAAGTTGGAGAAAGTGCAAAACGGAGAAACCCTAGACTTTAAATTAGGGTCCGAAGGAGTGTTAAGGTTTAGAGATCGAATTGTGGTTCCAGTTGATGAAGAGTTAAGGAAAAAAATTCTAAAAGAATCACATCGATCGAGGTATACTATACACCCAGGAGTGAACAAAATGTATCACGATGTGAAAGAGTTATACTGGTGGGACAGTTTGAAAAATGATGTGGCAGAATTTATACAAAAATGTCTGATATGCCAACAAGTAAAAGTTGAACATCAGAAACCCTCTGGTCTATTACAGCCACTAGAAATTCCCGAATGGAAATGGGAACACATAACCATGGATTTTGTAATGGGATTGCCTCGAAGTCAAAAAGGATTTGATGCGGTTTGGGTGATAGTTGACAGGCTTACCAAGTCCGCACATTTCCTACCTGTGAACATAAGCTTTTCTTTGGAAAAATTGGCCAAGTTGTACACAGAAGAGATCATGAGATTGCATGGTATTCCTATAAGCATTGTGTCTGATCGTGATCCAAGGTTTTTCTCACGTTTTTGGCAAAAATTTCAAGAGACATGGGGGACCAAGTTGAAGTTTAGTACCGCTTATCATCCCCAAACGGACGGGCAGTCAGAAATGACAATTCAAACTTTGGAAGATATGCTGAGGTCGTGTATATTGGAGTTCGGAGGTAAATGGAGTCAGTATATGATCTTAGTAGAATTTGCCTATAATAACAGCTATCACACCTCAATTCAAATAGCCCCTTACGAGGCATTGTATGGAAGAATCTCATGAGAAAGTGAAAATAATTAGGGAAAGGTTTCAAACTGTTCAGAGTCGACAAAAGAGCTACGCCGACACAAGGAGAAAAGATTTGGAGTTCGAAGTAGGAGACAAAGTTTTCCTAAGAGTTAAACCCGTGAAGGGCGGAGTAGTGTCCAAAAAGGGTAAAAAGTTAAAGCCGAGATATATTGGCCCTTTTGAAATTTTGAAACGAATCGGTAAAGTGGCGTATCAGTTGAGGTTGCCTTTGAGTATGGCCAAGATTCACAATGTATTTCATGTTTCTATACTCAAGAAATATCACCCCGATCCAAACCACATGTTACAATTGGAAGGAATTGAGGTGGATGAGTCGTTAACTTATGAGGAAGGACCAGTTAAGATTTTGGGAAGAGAAGTAAAAGAATTGAAAAGTAAGAAAATTCCTTTGGTGAAGATTCTATGGAGAAATCATGGAATAGAGGAAGCAACTTGGGAACTGGAAGAGGATATGCAGAGAAAATACCCCGCATTATTTCTTTAGAATGTGAGAATTTTGAGGACAAAACTCATTTAAGGGGGGGAGGATGTGAGAATCTTGAAAATATATATATATATATATACATGTGGCATTTGCGTATTAGACTCTTAATAACTTTTATTATTATTGGTTCTTGAATAAGTATGTAAAAATAATTTTTAGGTTACAAATAATTCAATTGTGCCACAATATTAAATTATTTGAATTTTCGCCAAGTTAAGTTAATACTTCTTGATGTAGGTTATTTTATTTCTTTGATTTTGATTCTTTGAAGTTCGATAGCTAAATTTTAAGTGTTTATAATTGTTAAGTATCAACGGAACCTAGAATTAAGACGAAATCGTTTTTAGGTCAAAACCCTTTATAATTACACTTAGGACGTTGAATTTCGATAATGAAATTTTAGCGAGATTAGTATACGGGTAGGCTATCAAATTTCTTTTGGGGTAAAATTTTAGAAATAGATTACGAATGAGGACTTAAGTGGAAGGTCGAACAAGATGTTAAAAGACCGAAATAGCCTCCCTCCATCTCAAATTAACCATGCAGCCATGGAACCTTCTTGAACAAGCTTCAAATCCAAACATTTCCATCTTGCCGGTTCCATGATTCATTTCAGCACTCCACCATCTATAATACAGACTTAGCTCCACTAAACACATTTCACTATATACATTCCACTTCATGCACTCCATTTTACCAACCCCAAATCACCACAGCATTTCATTTCCATTCCCTTTGTCTGCCAAGAGCTGTCCGAGAGAGTGAAGTGGGAGAGAGAGCCGAGCTATCTACTTTCTTTTCCTTCCTGCCCGTAAGTTAAAAAAAAAGAGACTTGCTGTTCATTCTCCACTCCATCCGTGAGCTGGTGAAGAGGACCGAGAGCTAAACTTCCTCCATTCATGTCGCAAGCTTGAGCAAGGAAGAGGGAGAGTTGGCGGACTGCATTTCTGGACTGTTCGAGAGGAGAGAAATATTTCAGCTGCTAGTCGCGTGTGTTGAGCTTCAAGCTGAGGTAAATTCTGGACCTAAACTAGTTGATTATAGGTAGATGATGTTGGTTATGAGCATGCATGTGGGGGTTGTGCGGTTGGATGAAGAATTAAGACTTAGGAAAAATCTGATTTTGAAGAAATTGGATTGCGAGAGTTTGAGCTGGAATTGTAGCTTTAATTGGCCAATTTGTGGAAATCTGAGTTTAATTGTGTATTTAGCTAACTAAAAACTGGATGTTTATGCTTTGCATGAGGTTAATCAGCCGTGAGAAAATCAGAAAATTGAAGGGATACAAAATCTGCTTGCATGCAAGCCAACCGAGAAGAATTGAATGAATTTCTAGTTGGATGGTAACTTTTGATGTTGTCTAAGCTTGGTTTTGGATCAAAACTGATAGATAGCTGATTATTTTGATCATGCATGTAGCTGAAATGAGTCATGGATAAAAAAAAAGAAAGAAAACTAAAAATGTGGCCGAGTGAGAGGGGTTGAGCATTTGATCAGTTTTCCTTTCGAATCTCAGCTGGGATTTTCATACTGGATGTTTAAAATTAGCTTGTAGCTTGCTAATCATCTTTTGCATGTTGAGTTGAAGTAAAAATTGAAGAAAATTATGGACAAGGCACCATAAGTTAAACTGTTATATTGCTGGGAATTGTATATGGTTGCTGGCCGAATTAGTTGAGGCTTTTGGGTGAGATTATTTTCTGGAAGTATGTGTTATTTGTTTTGGTTTAGATTGGACAGATTATGAGCTATGTGTTTAGTGTTTCAAGCAAGTAAAAGATGAGATTTGATGGATATCTTGAATTGTCATTGCTGGAATTTTTTTCTTGGTTGTCGAAAGGAGAAAAAAATCTGAATTCCTAAAGATGTTTACGAGTTAAGCTAACCGTGACTTTCTTTTATGTTTTGAGTTAAATTTCTGGTTGATTGTTGTAAGGAATGATTGTTTGATGCTAAGAGCTAATGATTGATGAAACTCTTGGCCATTTGAGTAATTTTTACAAGAGTTAAATTTTTGGTGGAATTGTTTAAGTGGTTTGGCCGAAATGTACTTGTAAGGTCCATGATTTGTGGTTTGGAATTGTTTGGATGTCTTGGTTTTCTTTGTTTAATTTTGATTAGAATTGAATCTGTTGAGACCTAGGGCTAATGATTGATGAAGCCCTAGTGAAATTGATGTTTGAATTGTGATTTTTCTATATTGGCAACTTGGGTTATAATGTGCAAATGAATTGGAATCGTGAAGTGTACTTTTAAAACCTTGCTAACTAGTTAATTCTTTTCTTTGTTTAAACTAGCTTTATTACCTTTAAGAAATAATTGCATTAACTTCCAAACTTTAAGTTTTTTGTAAAATTATCCCTGGCTAGTTGATTTAGAGGAAAATTGTTAAAAACACTAGATTTTAATAATTTTAAATGAAAGGCATAGAAAACTTGTTCAGCAAGAAAACTTGTTTGAATTAAATTGGTTCTAGTTGCACCTCTAGAAAGAAAAGTATCTCTAAAGAAACCCTACGAAATATTCTATCACTTTTATTAGTTTTAATTCTAAGAGGATTATTGATTTATTCCGAGGGAATAAACTAATTATATACCAGATAATATTTTATATGTAAACCAAGAGTTTGTATAGTAAAACTTATAATTTTTAAACTTGGTCTTTTAGGGTTTAGCGAGGACGTAGACTTCGATTCCCATCTTGATTTTTAAGCTTCACTTTTGGTGAGTGTCCGTGCTTGTTCTATGATTAATTTGTTAAAGTGCTTTCTTGACTGTTATGTGATAATTGGAATGTGGTTTTGCTGATCCATCGAAGTGGGCAGTGTGTACTTTATTGCACTAGCCCTTTCGAGTGGTGATTTACTTGAAATGTTTTCTTGAAATCTTGCTTGTACTAGTTAAATATTGAGTGGGGGAATGTACCACACCTGAGGGTGGGAGGATGTGAGAATCTTGAAAAATATATATATATATATATACATGTGGCATTTGCGTATTAGACTCTTAATAACTTTTATTATTATTGGTTCTTGAATAAGTATGTAAAAATAATTTTTAGGTTACAAATAATTCAATTGTGCCACAATATTAAATTATTTGAATTTTCGCCAAGTTAAGTTAATACTTCTTGATGTAGGTTATTTTATTTCTTTGATTTTGATTCTTTGAAGTTCGATAGCTAAATTTTAAGTGTTTATAATTGTTAAGTGTCAACGGAACCTAGAATTAAGACGAAATCGTTTTTATGTCAAAACCCTTTATAATTACACTTAGGACGTTGAATTTCGATAATGGAATTTTACCG